AGTTGAAGAAATGCTACAAAGTAAAAACTCGATCGTCCAAAAAAAATGAGGGGAAAGAATCGCCGGCACCGTTTTCAAGTCCTGCAGAGCCTTCATCGACGCTGCCGCAGGCACGGCGAAAGGTTCCCTTCGCGCATGCGTTTTTACCATAGCCGCACACTTCGAAGGTCGATTTCTCGGCACACCATAAGAAAATAAGGAAATCGAACAATTTCAGCTCCATATCCTCAAAAAATTCAGCCCAGCCCTTGCAAAACCAAATACTACCGTCCTCCATTTTCTCCACACTCACGGCCCGAGAGGGCCCGCCGAATATTTTGAGCTTGACCATCCCAAGCAGAGCCCCTGCTCGATTTCGGGCGAATTCAGGTGGGATCCTCTGAGCATAGGGCGACAAAAGTAAATAATTAAGAATCTCTGGATGATGAAGAAAACATATACTGAAGTTCACATGTGTGTGAGGTGAGTAAGAGACGGAGGGGAGTGAGTGAGGACTTACAAGTCGTCGGGCGAAATCGTCGCCGAACAGAATCTTGAAGAAACTATTGTGCCGGCGCCGGAGTTTTTGTTCTGGTGTCCTGGCCATTCTTGGGAAGGCGGTTGGGAAATGGTGACAACTCAAGGAAGGGGAGGATTTAATGGAAGGGAGGTGTGAGAGGGAAGATGATGTAAAATATTTTATGTTGTTTGGAGGAATTTTGTATTAGGTGGGTGGAGCAGTGTTTTGTGACCCGGACCGGTCCGGCGGGTCGACCTGGGACCTGGTCGATCCGGTGCCGGAATCGGTCTGGGTGGGTTAATTGGACCGGGCAACAACGGACCTGGTCAAAACTTGGTCGACTCGGCCTTGACCCGGTCGACCCGGGGCATTGACCCGACTGGGTCAACCCGGTTGACCCGGTCTTTATGTATTTTTTTATTTTTTTTTTTGGTTTTTAATTTTCTTTTTCGTTTTAAAAAAAAAATTATGTATATATATTTATAGGATAAATATATACATATTATACCACTTTAATCTACAAATTTTTACATACAAAATATTTCAATTTGTTATTTTATGTATATTTATATATCACAAAACACTCTATATATAACTTTATAAATTTTAAAATTAATTATTCGGTTCAACAATTGACCCGGTGACCCGGCAGTTGAATCGGTGATCCGGTGACCCGAAGACTTGCCCGGGTCGATTACCGGACCGGCTTTAAAAACTATGGGGTGGAGTCAAAACCTTTTTTTGTTAGAAAAAATGAAAAATAGAAGAGAAAGAAAATATTGTAAAATGATAGTTATAATAATGTAAGAAAAAAAAAATAAAATAATTTTAGATATTAACGTCAAAAAAGTAATTAAATGTTAAAAAAAATTCTCACCTCCAAATTCCCCATTTTTGGAAAGGATGATATTTTTCTTGGAGGAGGGAGATAAAAGGAAATCTTACCCCTTCTCTTTATACAAAATTGAACCAAACAAGAGAAATAAAAAAAGTCCCCTCACCTCCCTTTCCCTCCTCTCTATTTCCCCTAAACCAAACACTACGTTAAAGTCGTACAAAAAAGAGTTTGTTTTTAAAACAAATGACAAACTACAACGAATTAAAATAAAACTAAGGCCGCAAAAAAAAAAAATCGAGCTGCTCGCGAGAGAGAACTCGAGTCGAGCTCGAGCATGTTATCGAGTCGGTCTCGAGCATATGTTTTAGAAAATCGACCTGCTTGCGATATGTAGTGAATTAAAAAATACCCTATATAAAAATATTATAATATTTTATATATATACTTAATGATAATTTTGCTTGAAATTTGAATCTAATTCGAGCTGAGCTCGAGCAACCTTTCAAGCATTTTAAGTTCAATCGATCTCGAGTCAAGTTGAACAATTTTTTTTTTTTTTTTTTTAATGAACAAATTTCTTCTTTGTTCTACATGATCTCGAGTGTCATAAATTGAGCTCGAGCAAATAAAAAAAGATCAATATTGTTCGATAAGGCCAATGCGCTACTCGACTCGGTTCGTTTGCAACCCTAAATAAAACAAATTAGCACGACATAGTCTACTACATGCGAGGAAATTGGTCCATATGACCAATGTTTTAAATATCGTACCGTACCGACCGATAATACCGGATACCGGCCATTGGTACGATATAATTACACTCAAAATATGGGATTTACGGTTATACCGGTTTGTATCGAGATCATACCGTAAAAACCACAAAATACTGATCCAAAATACAGGCCAATAAAAAAATAAAATAAATGAAATTTTTTTAATTTAAAAAATTTAATTTAAATTAGTAGTTCAAATATTTTATTTTATCTCATTTAGAAGTTGAAATTAATGATTATGGTCATTTATTTTTTTTACTTTTTTGCATTTGGTATTATATATTTTTATGTATATTTATATATATCATTATATTTACTAATCTGGTATTACTACCGATATTACCGGTCCGACCGGTAATACCACGAACCGATGGCTAGACTAGTATGACCCCGGTACAGTATTTAAAACACTGCATATGACCTTCACACTAAATATTGCGTAAACTTAGATAAATAAAAAGCATATTAAATTTAAGTGAAAATTGCATAAAATAACTAGTATTTCCTCTCATCTTCCTCCCAAGTGACTTGGTTCGCAAAACTTCAATAGAATTCAAACAATTTCGTGTACATCATCTTTCTCTTCATTCATTCGACTAATTTTTTTTTTTTTCTTACCATATGGTAGGGGCTTGTAATGGAATATTCTATTTATAGGACAAACATTCCGCCCATAAAATTTTCTTATGGAACTGCTCAATTGACGAGTTGAAACCCCTTCAGCCACTCATACATTCTTCATGATAGAGGGCTCGAGTTTGATGTTACAACCCAGGATTTAAGGTCGTAAAGCTTGTTGAACATGTGTTTTAAGTTTGAAGATGGTACTTTTGATGAGTTGAGGGGCCAATTCGAGGTTTACGCCCTCAAAATCGATTAATGGATGCTAATTGTGGCCGCTCGCACAACCTATGTAAACAGGTCTTGCTATTGAATTGCCATGGTTGGATGGGATTGCCATGCTATTAACTTCTTTGAGTTTGCAAATCAAGTGTTCTCTTCTAGCTTAGTTGAACCAGTCATAGTCAATTCGGTTCGTAGATTGAAGATTGACTAGGATTCTGTTTGGTAAAACTAGCTGATAAGCTAGCTTATAGCTAATTAGTAATTTTTGAGCTTATAGCTTATAGCTGAAAAACTAGCTTAAGTGATAAAAGTGTCTTGGTAAAATTAGCTGATAAGTTAGCTGAAATAAAAATTTCAACGAGCTTATTTGAAAAACTACCAAAAGAAGCTTATCAAATAAGCTCGAACTTTTTTAATAAGCTCGTCCTACCAAACGGAATTTATTTATTTAAACACAGATAGCTTATAAGCTAATCAAATAAGCTATAAGCTAGCTTATTGGTCTACCAAACATAGCTAGGTTTTTTTTGTTCAGGGAATATGAAGGCCCATGTGCTCGGATATCTAGGGCACATCTCTAGCTCGAACACTAGAGATATAAACGAAATAGCCGAACCAACCTAACTATATAAAAAATACTATTTATATCAACATTATTTATTTTTATCAAAATGTAGTATACAATATTAAAATACTAAATATATTTTATATTATAAATATTAATTTATTTTAGTTAATTCGGTTAACCGACCGAATAAATTGATTATTTCGGTTGGTTTTAGTTCAGTTTGGGACAAAAGTTCGATCGACTCATTTTTTCAAAAGTTCGACTTGATTATTTCAGTTTTTGACATTTTGATCGATCAATTTAATTGAATCGACCTATGAACAACCCTAAATATGGCACCACTTTTATTTCTTGTGCAGAGGCATGACGATGATAATGCCATATTAATTCTTTGTTTGCATAAAGCAAACAGTATAGCCGAGTGCAACAAATTATCATCATATACCCCGAAAATGCAATATTTACTGTTGATGATATAGGTCTTCGTCTACCTTGATTCTATTGCCCGTATTCATATTCTACTAATCTTTCATAAGGAGAGGATACGATAAAAATGAAGCAAAGCGCAGTGAAGTCATAGAAAAGCCTTCAATTCGATCTTGAGTTGGTTCGAAGTTGAGGATTCTTAGCAAATCCACTCTGGTTCTGCAGCTTCTATAAAGTAAGATCTTCCTTCACGATCCAGTTGACTCATTCATAAGAGATAGGAACGCACAAGCACAGGCGAGAGAGAATCCTATTTAGGATTGACAAGGGGTTGGCTAAGATTTTAAATTTGCTTTTGCCCATTTCTGTGACCAAAATCGCTTTTACTTATTCGACTAGATGATCACGTAGGGCGAATAAATCAAAGGTAGGGAAATCCCAGAAAGCGGAGTGACTTCTTGAATCTTTTAATAGAGAGCCCCATTAACCAGACAAGCTGGAGGAGACAAGCTACCTCACAGAAAGGATGACGAAGGGCCAGTTGACGCAGAAAGCTGAAGCTATGAAAGCGCCCCTTTCTCATTTTACTCGTCGGATTATGAATGAGATATTCAGACGTCAGCTTGAAGGCTACGATTCATCAGTCTTTCTAGGGCCAATTCCGGTTCACCAAAATGACGAACTTGAACTGGCCCAAAAATGGGTATTGGCCACATCTTAGCTCTAGAAACCAAAAATGCCGACAATAGCGATACATTCTAAATCAGGATAACACTTACATACACTATAGATGACATTCAAAAACCAAAGCCCCAAATGCACCAAACCGCTTACATTACACATGGCTAACCAAAACAAGTTTAGGTCAAAAAGATTGGTAGCCACACTACTGAAACCTTAAATATCCCCAAAGTTTCAAAAAACATACTGCAAAATCAGAAGTGGCTTCAATTCACAACCAGATGACACAGCATAAACATATTGCAAGATTGGCAGTGGCACGACCGACTATCTTATCGGTTGCGAAAAATCATAACATCCCACACGAGCTCGTCGTCCTTACTATCGAGTCTATCTGCGACTTCAAATACGCAAGCATCACCAAACTTAATCCCATTATCCTTCACGAATTTCCTCCATCCGACTGTCAACAACTGCGCACGGTGTTTTCCCTTGCGGCATCTCACGAGCCATTCTTTCCCATTTGTTACCAAAACTATCGACATAATGCCCAAATGTGGCAAATTCCGTCTAGCAAATGGATATGGTAGATTCTGCATTTTGAAAACAGAAATGAACAATGCTGTAGGAGAAAACCAATGCGACTTGGAAAATCTTTAATGAGTTAGTTACCAAATTCTGTTTGCCTCGGACATAGGTTTTGTGCATGAAAGAAATGAAAAACGGGGTTTTTTGAGTGCGGCTGGAGACGTAATCCTCTGCTTTCTGATACGCATCCCACGTTTCCTTTACGTCTGATCAAGTGCAACAATGTTAGTCATTAGCTGAAGATAGAATACTAAAAGTTAGTGTTTACTAAACTTTCAATAGCATTTGATATCTTTTCATTCAGAAGACAACAGAATTTTAATAGATATGCTAACACAGGGAAACAAAACGCCACAAACATGACAAACATAACAATTGAACAAACGACCTTTCTACTAAATGAAAGATTTTTTTTTTTTTTACCAGAACTTGATCCATCGAAATTGGGTCTTTCTTCTTTCAGACGAGAGGAAATATCACGCATGTTTTCTTGAATTTTAGCTTTGCCGTTCCTTTTTTTCACGATTTCTTGATCTTTTTTGCCTTTCCATTTCCTTTTTTTATCGTGTATTGGGTATTTAGTCTCATCAGCATCAACGTTATCGTCATCCTCCGGATATTCATTTTCCCCATAAACCTGAATAATCATCTTACTCGGAATGAACTCAAACATGTAGGATTTACCGAGGACGAGATTGTTAGATGTCCGAAACTTTGACCAGCCGACCATTTCCACACACCCAATGCGCCTTGAAATCAGATCAACACAAACAGGATGACCCCCTTCATAGTCCAAACACACTCCATCCTTGCCCACCAAACCAGCGGCCAACAGAAAAGCCTTGGGGACAAGCTGATTTATCAAACAACACGAACATATAAACCAAATCAAATAGATACACATGAATGCTTCAAAATAATTATTGTCAACATTATGCATGCATGCCAAGGAAAAGATTGTTAAATAATAATGATCGTGATTAATCGGTGTTTACCAGTCTATACATACGATGGCGTTTCATGATTATCTTAAACCATGGATTAGAGCCGCCAGATTTGGCCCTGTCCTCACCATCACTAAATGAGGCCTCTTCCTTCACATCTGCAGAGAATGGGAAAACTTTGGAAAAAAATCATAAAAAAAAAAAAAATTAAAAATTAAACTCGATCATCCAAAAAAAATGATCAGAACACGAAACACAAATCGCCGGCACCATTTTCAAGTCCTGCAGAGCCTTCATCGCCGTTGCCGCAGGCACGGCGAAAGGTTCCCTTCGCGCAGGCGTTTTTCCCATAGACGCACACTTCGAAGGTCGATTTCTCGGCACACCATAAGAAAATAAGGAAATCGCACAATTTCAGCTCCATATCCTTACAAAATTCAGCCCAGCCCTTGCAAAACCAAATACTACCGTCCTCCATTTTCTCCACACTCACAGCCCGAGACGGCCCGCCGAATATTTTGAGCTTGACCTTCCCAAGCAGAGCCCCTGCACGATTTCGGGCGAATTCTGGTGGGATTCTCTAAGCACAGGGTGGCAAATGTAAATAATTAGAATCTCTGGAAGATGAAGAAAACATATACTGAAGTTCACATGTGTGTGAGGTGAGTAAGAGACGGAGGGGAGTGAGTGAGGACTTACGAGTCGTCGGGTGAAATCGTCGCCGAACAGAATCTTGAAGAAAGTATTGCGCCGGCGCCGGAGCTTTTGTTCTGGTGTCCTGGCCATTCTTGGGAAAGCGGTTGGGAAATGGTGACAACTGACAAGCCACGTGATATTTAAACTCGTATGAGAAAGCGCTCGTAACAGATGACAAACTTCAACGCATTGAAATAAAACTAAGGCAGCAAAAAAAATCTAGCGGCTCGCGAGACTGAATCAGTGAACTCGAGTTGAGCTCGAATATACTATCGAGTCGATCTCGAGCATAAGTTTTTGAAAGTCGAGCCGCTTGGGGTATATAGTGAATTAAAAACTACCCTATGTATAAATATTATAATATTTTAGATATGCACTTACTGATAATTTTACTTGAAATTTGAGTCAAATTCAAGCTGAGCTCGAGCAATCTTTCGAGCATTTTGATTTCATTCGATTGAGTCGAGGTCGAGTGCTTTCTTCTTTTGTCGAGATGATCTTGAGTGACATAAATCGAGATCGAGCAAATAAAAAAAAAGTCTTGCTCGATAAGGTTAATGCTCGAGTCGACACTAAACTAGTACGACCCCGTCTAGTACATGGGAGGAAATTGGTCCATATGACCTTCAGACTAAATATTGTCTAAACTTTGATCAAAGAAAGCATATCAAATTTAAGTGAAAATTGCATAACTTAAAAATTTACTAGTTTGTCCCCTCATCTTCTTCCCAAGTGACTTAGTTCGCAAAACTTCATTAGAATTCAAACAATTTCCTCTTCATCCCATTTTTGCCTTCATTCATTCGGCTATTTTTTTTTTTTTTTTTTCTTACCATATGGTAGGGACTTGTAATGGGATATTCTATTTAAAAGACAAATATTATGCCCATAAAAATTTCTTATGGAACCGCTCAATGCACGATTTACTAATTCCGCCACTCAAACTTTCTTCATGATTAGAGGGTTCGGGTTTAATGCCACAACACATGAGTTAATGAAGGCCAATTGTGGTCGCTCGCATATGCATGTAAAAACGTTTAAAAATGTATGTAAACATGTCTTGCTATTGGATTACCATGGTTGGATGGGATTGCCATGCTATTAACTTCTTTGAGTTTGCAAATCAAGTGTTTTCATCCAGCTCAGTTGAACATGTCACAGTCAATTAGGTTCGTAGACCGAAGACTAGCTAGTTTTTTTAGTTCAGGGATATGAGGGTCCAGGTGCTCGGATATATACGGGGCATGCCTCTTGCTTGGATACTAGAGAGATAAACAAAATAGTCGAACCTAGTTTCTAGGATCAGGCGGGGTATTGCAGCTGGTCATGGGAAGCTATTTTTGTATTCTCTTTGTTCTAACGGAATAAGTTGTCTTTATCAAGTCGGCGTGAGAGTTGTGAGTTGTCTTTTTGAAAGGTCAACTCTAGATTATTTTATTTAGAAAAAAAGTTGCATCTCTTGGAATTCTGAAAAGGGTAATTATGAGGGTTCTCTTTGATAATGTGATGTCTTGTAGAATAGTGCATCCGCCAAATGGGGATTTACCAGATGTGTATTTCTTGTATTATTTTGCTTATTTCTATGTGTTTTGTATGCTTAATTGAGTCGGTTCTAGGTTTGTTTTTCTTGTTTAACTGGTCCATTTTAGTTGTTTCGTGTGTTTTTATTTGTTTTTGGTGTTTTGTGTTTTTGGCGTACTTTTTCGTGTGTTTTGGTGTTTTATAGGTCCATTTGTTCGAGTTTGAAAGAGTAGGAACTGAACCAAGTCCTGAGCATGTGAGTTGGAAGCCGAGCACAACATCTCTGTCTATTTTCGATCATTTTTAGCACAAGTCCCCATGGAGTCTGAGAATAATGCAAGCGACCCAAGAGATTTCTACCGATGCCCGACCAATTTGAGCGTTTACCGAGATTCATGTGTCGTTTATTAATATTGGCCCGAGACCACGCGCACCCGAGGGCCCACCAAACACTCACCTACCATTTAACTCAGGTGGCCCTGGCACTCGCCCATGCATACCGTACACTTGATCGTGTTTCGCCAGGCGAATCGACACTCGCCTGGGTTTCGCCAGACAAACCAACACTCGCCCAATACCATCTTGGGCGAGTTTTTCTCAATAAATGTGTGTGTTTTAGTATGTGTTTGAGGTGTAACAGTAAATAGACATCTTGCTTTGTATTTTTGGACAACCCCTCAAAAGTTGGAAAATCATCTCTATTTTCACTCTTTTCTTTTTATGCTTTAGTTTGGAGGTTCATAACTCAATTTTTAGGCTAAATTCTGGTAACCTTAAATTTAATCAAGACTTGAGTTTTACGCACTATTTCCATCCGGGCATGCGATAGGAGAGTAAGTACCTTGCTTAAGGCTTACTACTTTAAGTTTGTTTTTTGAATTTTATGTCTATGCTCGATTTTAGGACTTGCATTATTTTTCATTGCTTCCTTATGTGTGTTAGGAATTCAATACGTGCTTATCCCGTATAAAGGTCTCGACATTGCTCAAAGAGTGATGATTTAGTGTAGAAAGCTCGTGTTAGATTACCTAGGATCACTTTGCTCGCATGTTTTCTCTTGTTTATTTTTGTTTTTCTTGAGATATGGAGACCCTATGCAACCAAATTTTGAATCTTTCCTCTCAAAATCCCATCTTCTTTAATTACTTTCAAGTGATTTCAATTCTTAGTGCAAAATTAGCTTAAATTCACCATCAATAAAGTGAATAGCATATTTAGGACCCTATTTTACTAGATAGTGAACGAAACTCCGAATAATCTTCCTCGAGAGACACGAACCGAGGTCGATATTTTGATTGTAGCCGGCTAAAAACTAAAAACAGTGTGAGATGTCATATTATTTGGCATGCAAAGTCGTCATTTCTTGAAACGTCTCATGTGTCCGTTTAATGCAGCTGACGAGTGGATCAAGGGTTTTTTAGGACATTTTTATTTGAGCGGAGGCAAATTTCCACCAAGGAGGCAACCGCAAAACCAAAACGAAACTCCATAAATGAGAGAAAAACTCCATAAAGGATATAAAAATAGATAAGTTGGACTAACATACAAAAAACGAAAAAAAATACACACCTAACGCACAAATAAAACTAAGACCTCCCTTATACCTAGCAGACCCAATGCCCAACCACTCGAGAGAGCACACGGGCCAATTCTAGAAGCAAAGAGATCAAACGAAGCTGCAAACCGGAACCTCAAGCCAGAAAAATGTGGCCACTCATGCCGCTTGACGGATATAACGAAGAGTATGCTCTCGATTCGGATGTGGACTCCAAAAAACCATCCACGTCGGAGGGAGGGAGAGGGAGCCACCGCAAAAACACCAACTCACCACGTCGGAGTGCTTGAAAGAAGGATCAACAGCCTGCAAGCCGCACCTATAGACCTAAAAACCTGAAAAACTCATCCCTTGACGAAATGACGGTCAGTGCCTTCTTGAGGCTGGGGAATGAACGCTGACGACCGGCAGTCTCGACCTTGACCGGGTATATGGATGGGCGACAAAAGCAACCCAGTCCACGTGGGTGGCCGGAGCTCCACTTCCAGATCGGCCACAAGCCTTGGAAGAGACAGAAAGAGGCCACAACCCTGACTCGATGAATCCCAACTCTGGCAACTCAGCGACAAGTCTGAAGATGAAGGAGGGGCGACGAATTTGCAAGAAGAGAATGGTTTTCTACGATTGGGGAGAAAAAAAGAGGGACACGGCCCCTCACGTGTTTTACTACTTTCTACTATTTATTTATCTTGTTTATTTGTAGCATAAGTTATCTATCTATACTATTATAAAAGGACGAGTTGCTTTGTAAAAATATGAACTGTCTAAAACACCCTTTTACATATTTTTAATGGCAAAGTTGTAATCACTCTGAAAATACCAATATAAAAGGATTCAAAATTTATAATTAAAACACAAATACTCTAATTATTTATTAAAATAATAAAAACTTGCTTTTGGTCGTATGGTGTTTTTTTTTATCTTTTCTCTGTCTGAAAGGTTCGATTAGCTTCTTTGTGTGCCAGAATTCCTTTTTTTTCGTTGGCATTCCCTTTGGTAGTATCCCTCGAATAAGAGGGTACATTGAAAGATATCTGAGACTAAGGCATCTTGGGGGGTGGGCAAGAGCTGGTTAGAGCAAAGGAAGGGCCACTAGTTAGGTTAGTCAGAAGAGTTCAGCCAGATTGGGTGACATGGTGGATTAGGTCTTCGATTTCTATACTCATTAGGACTTGATCGTGATCAATTTAATTTGTAATTGACAACTAAACTTGTAATTTTGTAATATGATCATGCCAATATAGTTTTTTTGTTAAACTGCCTAAAAAGTCTTTACTTTGACATATTTTTAATGGCAAATTGGTAATAAAATAATACTCACTTATCTTATATTTTAATTAACAAATGAATTACCTTAAAAACCCTTACTATAACTTTATTTTAATGGCAAATTAAATCAAATATAGCCAAAAAGGCTTATGAGAAATTTGCCGAGAACGTAGAAATTTAACTAGAACACCACAAAACATTTAGATGGCAAGAAAGTAGCCTATATGTTGAAGAAAAAAAAATAAATTCTTTTGCATAAAATAACCTACCTGATGGTAGCTAATCTAGACTTCTTCAAAATGACACTATAGGGTGAGCCACAAATAAATTAAGAGATAAGGTACAATAACTATTGGCTATAACCATGCAACTGACCTTGGGTAATGGTGGTGACCGTCACATGGCCAGCATGGGTCATATCTCTCAAAATTCAACCCAAACATCAAAGCTATGAAAGGATATATAAATGATGTTTCAAAAAAAGTCCTTATTTTTAATAAAATTTTTAATATAAAATCGTAATCAAATTTTATAATTCTAATATATAAGTTTTTGTTCAGAAAAGTTGATCCAGCAAAAAGGGCATAAGAAATAGTTATAAAGAATCCAAATATTTTATACTATTTATTTACAATTTTAACAAATGATATATCCTGGTAAAAAGGACAACTTAATTGAGGGGTAACTTCTATATAATAAATAATCCAAAAAATACAAAGTTAACGTTACTTAAGAGAAGATACAT